AGAAAGAATAAACTAGTTTTAATTAAGAAAAGAGTTGTATCGCTGAAGTTTCTCGGAAATAATTTTTACGAGAAATTATCAAACAAGCAGATACGTAACAATATGTTTTCTACTCTATGAAAGTTACGGTTTAAGAGACTAAAGCAGGCGAAATATTGAAAACCAATAGGCCAAACAATTGTTATAAAACCAAATGGAAATAGGCCTAACAATTGTTATAAAACCAAATGAACTGCAGTCATATAAAACAGTAACCATTGATATCTTTTATCATATAAACATAGGGTCCCCTTCCTTGTCTTCAAGATTGGATAGACCAGTATGGAAATGTTTTTATGTAAGTGATACATAATTTTTATAGGATATATGATTGTACGAGTATGACACTTGTTATCAGTAAACTAGTTAGTTCTCAAATTGAAAAATAATATAAAAACAAAAATCATAAAGACCAATGCTGCTGTTTGTGTCCAGTTTTAAGGTACTTTCTATACAGTTAATAGAGAATGTGTTAAACATATACATGGCTGATTTCGTAACTAGACGATGGGTTCCAGCGTATATGTACTTAGGTCACCTACTGTCGTAGTTAGACGACAGTTCTCATCATATATTTGATTACGTCATCTAGTCTTGAAGTTAAACGATGTTTCCTGATATATACGAGATATCTTCTCAATACTTCGTAAAACTAACAAGGTCACTGAGTTTTATTAATTAGCATTACACGAACTACCATTGAATTTCTTAACATAGAATTCACTCGCTATTCAAACGTTTCAACGCTGTATGAAATTAACAAGGTCACTGGGTTCTTGTTTTTATATTAATTACCATTACAACAACTACCCATAATTTCCTTATCTTACAATATTCTCGCTGTTCTACCTTCTCAGAGCTGGGTAAATTAATATTAGTTAAACTAACTACTTTAGTGAATTATGTTAATTAACATTCGGTTATACTGGGCAAGTCACTGAGCTTTATTAATTAAGATTTAATTAAATTAACCAACTACATTGATTTCATTAATTAACAGGTTTACTAAACTAACGAGCACATAAGGTATTATTAAATAAACACCCAGCCAAACTAATCGGGTAATAGTTTGGTCAATTTGAAGTTTAATGGAACTCTATATTAACCCTAGCCAGTAATCTGATTTATGTTAACACATTTCTTACTTAACCTTGTTTTAACTATATGTTAAATAAACTTATCATTCTACAGGGCTATATTAACTCTGTTTTTAAGCTAATCAGATCTTTGACATTTGGATTACTTAATTACATTTTTTGGTAAATTAGTTAATATTTTTAGCAATACTAAAAAACAACAAAAAAAAACAGTATATTATTTACACAGTACCATGTTTCACCTGGTTAAGAAGTCCTGACATCATCATCAGGTACAGAAACTACAATCTGTAAATTAGTAACCTCGGGACCAGAAGAAACTAGTGGATGTATACATGGGTATTTGTTTGGTTGGTAAAGCAACCCAAACTATTTTAGATGTAGCTGCGACCTTTAACTGTATTTACCCCAGTATTGTTGTTTGAAATAGTTCCACACAATAAATAATCCAACTATCCACCATTTTTATCGAAATAGTTCAATGTAGCGTGTTTTCAATCAGTATTTACGATAGACCTTCATGCTTGAAACATGATTTTAATTAGTTATCGTACGACTAATGTTACTTGAAGTGATACCTAAATACTTTTTAACAAACTAACTGACACGGAATCTTTAAATTGAAATTCAAGGAAGTAAGTACCACTTTAACTCAAACTGTAGGTAAAAAGACAAAGAAAAACTAATTATTGTTTATATTGTTTTCCTTTCTCGTCAGCTTACAATAAAACAAAGTCATAGTTGTACATATATGATGTTAAATAGCTACAGGACAACTGCTTGTTAAAGAAATAATGAAATATTGTCATCAATATCCTTAAGTTAATTCTGATATATATATGTGTGAAGGAATAAGAGCGTAAGACAATAAAATATCCCTATTATAATTTCAAACAACTAGGCCTGAAACACAGGTGTTACCTATACAAAAAAACAAGGTACAGTGTTGATTTCTGTATTTCAGTTACTTTTTTGGATTGAGACCAGTTTTGGTGGTGATGGATCTCGACTTACTAAAACAAATTCAGATTAAGGATTTCATGGATTTCGTAGATCGGCCAGTAAGGATTGTTGTCTGTCTGTGTTCCTTTCGTTAAGCGTTTATTATAAATACCTCATGCTGACTTTATTTATAAAACTAGGTCTGTAGTTTTGAATAGTATTTAAATTCAACTAAACTGTGCAAGTAATTAATATTAAACCATCTATGGAAACTATGTCACAAATTTTCTTTTTCAACCCCAAACTGACGTTAATTCATTAAATATAGTTACTTTGAAATATGAAGTTTTTACAAATCACGTTTAAAACAACGTTTTATTATAAAGTATAATTTACATTCTCTTTCTTGTGAAATCGCTTAAAAAAGGCAATAAGTTGTCCTATTAAGAACTGAGAAGGTAATTTATTTAAGCAACAGTTTGTGTCTACAAATCCTTTCTTAAAACTCGCGATGTTAAATATTCTAGTAGTGGCGATACTAGTTGTATGTGATATATGTTAACAAATAACATTGTATTCAGTAGTGAAACAACTGAATATTGTATTTTTTCAAGATGTTTCTTTTACACCATGTATTATCGTTGTTTTTAGGGTCTTTTCGAATTAGATCCACCAAGGGAACCCGGAGAACCTATTAACCTCATCCTAATTTTCCTGCGTGGAACTCATTGGAAGAGAGTTAGAGGTGTACTAACTCCCTCCTTTACTACCTTGAAACTAAAAACAGTACGTATCAGTTCGGTAATTGCTTTAATCAGCTCAAGAATGTTTCTAGATGTGCCACTTATCAGCAATTAAAATATAAGGCCTGATTTAAGAAGTTCGTGCGTTCTTAGTTCAAATATGTATTGACATCCAGACACCACCAGATAATCGAGGTATCAAAGTCTGCCATAACCTGTCCAATCACTGAACAGGAATCCCATTAAAAACGTGTTAGCTATCTTTTACTGGTCCCTGTAAAACAACTTCCCGGAATACCTAACTCAGCTGCTATGCCAGGAATGGTTTAATTACCACAAAACGCAATTGAAAAGCTCATTGATACAACGTACAATCTCGTTGCTGCCTTTTATCAGATAAAAGAGATACACAACAAAGTTTTTACCACATTCATGTTTCGTCAGGCTATTTATGGTCCCCCAATGGTTCATAGGAAAGTCTAAAGGCGTATAACTGTTTACACACCCATGGTGGATACAGCACAGAGAGTCCATTGTATTGCTGTGTACTTAACTACAAACTAATAATGTATCCAGAATAAGTTGGTGTTCTTTCGAGCTTTGGTGTCTGTCATCAAGTCTTTGATTAATGTTTTTATGCTCTTTTATTTTAATGAGTTCGAATTTCTCCAAAGAGTCTTATTAGCTTCGGATATATATATATTTCTAAACAACCTCAGACATTCATTTCTTGGTGTTGAGAAGGTCCTCACAGCTTCACTTGTGGTGTTTTATGCAGAAACAGAGGAAGTAATAATGTCTTTATTTTATTATCCGGACCAAAATTCAAACACATTTCAAACTGTTTAACAAGCCACATAAACAACTTTGTTTGTATTTTCAATAAAAAAATAAATTTTCTTTGTAACAAAGATTACAACCATCCGTCTACAAAATAAAAGTGGTTAACGTTATAACTATATGAAATAATCTAAATTCATATATTTATTCTGTTGACAACACAAAGATCAGAAACAACAGATTTCTAGAAAATAATATAGAATTGAGGAAAAAATACTTAATGGAGTAATAGAGAGAAATATATTTTATTAAATATTTATTTGAATATTTTTGAGCGATTTCTTAAGTCTATTGTACAGTAAATTATATTAACATAATGTTTTATTTATGTTTAAAGAATGTTCAGAAATAATTCTTAATAACATTGCTAACGTAATATTCCAACGCCCCTTTTGCTATATAACGGAAATGTATACTTTTATATATGATACTTTCTCCCCCCCCCCTCCAATACAATACACAAGAAGAAGGTGTAATTATTACTTTACGTGGGTGAGAGAAGTATTCGGAGAAATGATTTTGAAAATTGAAATTTTACATACATTCAGTTACAATACATAATCGCAGGTTTTTATACTCTATTTAACTTTTTTTTTTCACTAGATGGCACAAACTATGGATGAAACCATTGATGACTTCATCAGAAATGTCGACGAATATTCTAGAAAAGAAAATTGTCTAGATGTATATAAGCTATTCCAGGCTATGAGTATGGATGTAATTATTAAGTGTGCTTTAGGAGTTGACGCGCATGTTCAAAAAAATCCGATGGAGCACGAGTTACTCAATCATGCCGATGTAATTTTATCTACTTCAATTCAGTCCTTGCCTTTCCTCATTCACAGTAAGAGTTTTGATGTTTTGGTGTATATAATAGATTTAAAGGATTTGTTGTGATACAAGAAAATCCATATGAAACAGTTTAAATTTACCATATTTGACGTTATACTTGGAAACACGTGTGATAGTTGGAACAACTTTGTTGTGGTGCAAGAAAGCGAGGTGAGAGAAGTATCAGGAGAAATGATTTTGAAAATTGAAATTTTACATCTTAGAGTAAATAAATATTTGTATAAAACACAAATTTCAAGTGTTGAGAATTACTTACTAAGTTAATTATTGTAGATGTGTATAATAATGTGATTCATAATAAAAAGTACTATGTATAGAATAGAAAACTGACCAATAACAAGTCAGAGATTGTGACGTAATGGCATTAAAGTAAACTCCCATCAGTAATTAGTGTATACAATATATTTTAAACTGATTTCTTATAAGTAAGCTACACTGAGAAATATGTGATTAATTTATCATTCCCAGCTATTGGTACTTTTATTTCATTAATGATTACTAGGGACTTTTTTTAGTGGTACATGTTCTCATCTTTGGAATAGACAGACCTTACTAGATTCCTGAATAATGGAAAATAATTATATGACGTCATTGTAGCTAGTTTTTGTTTTAAAATTTAGTCAAATAAACGAAACTTCTTTACTAGAAGTTTTCAAAGGAAAATATGTACAATAGTTCCATGTTTTATATTTCGAACAGAAATAAAATTAAGATACTTTAGAAATTAGTGAGCATGCTCAGAAATCCTTAGAAAAGTTAAAAATGTCGACTATAATATTTGGTTTTAAAGTCTGCGGATAGTCTTTCAAGCATTTTTAGTAATTTCAAGAATACTGATTTTGACATTCACATTATTGTCATAAATTAACTATTGGCTGTATCCGTTCTACGAAAGGAACATTAGTATATAAAATCTCGATATGGATTAATACAGTAATTTGTAGTGTTTCTACTAAAGGAATATTAATGTATAATCTTAACATCAAACAAAGACAATAAACTTTAGTGTTTATTCCAAAGGAATATTAACGTATAAGTGTAGAACGAGTAAACTGTTATACCAAACTTTATATTTTAATTTGATTATATAATTCTAAACTATCCTTCAGAATAAATTCATTATTAGAGTAATTTGCAGTAAATATCTTTGAAGTCTTAGTTTTTAGGCTTTAGAGCTATCTTGGTTAGGCATGATCCTCAGCCGAGTCCCTTAAAATCTCATCGACTTTACTGAGATAATTTGATAATACGTTTATTTGTTTACAAAAATCTATTTATTTTCAGAACATTTAAACTGTAGTTTTTCTAACTTCAACAACAAAGATATTATGGAGTGAAACTCATTATAAAGCCTTGTCATTCTTTAATAGAAAAATTAATAATTAAACTCTATAGTTTCAATTCTAAAATTCATAGATACACGTGACTTAGTGGTCAGCTTACCCGGACAGTGAATTCGAAGGTTGATGGTTAATGTCCCGTCCTCAAAAATTGCGCTTCGCACCTTGGGACTTGAATAAGCTACAAGAGTGAGGTCAGATCCCGTTATTCGATCAAACAGGATTTATCCAAAAGTTGATGCTTTGATTGGCTGTCTTTTCTCTAGTCTATCAGTTCAAAATTAGAGAAAACTTTGCGCATATAGCTCTTATAGTTCGTGCGAAAAATATTAACGAAAGAAGCAAATAAATCTTCAAAGTTCTTACAGAAAGTCCATCAATAGTATTGAATAAACTTATGTTACAATTTCATAATGAACATTTAAACTATTTCAGTTCACAATTAACCAATTTTTTTTTCTACTTGATTTAATTATTCAAATATTATTCTACATGGAAGATATGTAAACAACATTTTTGTAGGCTTGAAGAATCCTAATTCAGATCTTCAATTTCAGAAGTATCTACAGCTTATATTTTTTAGTCTTCCACAGTTCCAAGAAGCTAATAAAACTCAATATAACTTCTCATATAGTTGCCTAACCTGTGACATCTTAACTTGTGTATGGATTAAATAAAAATATATATACAAATAAAATACCAGAACAAAAGATATAATCTTCTATATTTTGAATATTGTTTGTTGCTGTTACTACTAGGTTTAATTTTAAATCTTCGTAAAACATATAGGATTTTTTAATTTCATTTAAAAACTTTAGTAGATCAAATTTTAGGATTAAACCTTTACTAACTGTATATATATATATATACCCGGATGTTCTTGTTACAGAAATTGGACATTAAAGAAAATTATCCTGGTTTCCTGAAGTTTCATTACAATTCTCTTACTTAATCCGGTTCACACCATAACAGTTGTCGTTGGTAAAATTGATTATATAAATAGCGCCCTGACCACTACTATGTTTGTTTTATCCTTGTCGGACTGATGAACACTGGCATTGGGTGATATGGCTCGTCGGCATTGAATATGTCAGATGTGATGTGTTTGGCATACTAATAAATACGCTTCTTTACTTTCACCCATAAGTTCTTAGAATTAGTGTTTTTTTTTAGCAATATGTTACCATCATGTTTCTTATTTGTGGTCGTTTATATTTAACAAAATATTACTACCGTGTCTGTAGATAGTGTTCATTATTTTTTACAAATTTTGCTGGTGTGTCTGCAGTTATTGGTTCTATATATTTTACAAAATGTTACCATTATGTCTGAAAATAATCGGCGTATATATTTAATAAAATTATATGATTGTGTTTTAGTGTCGTTTCCGGCTTTTGGTTGGCTCATGAAGATTATCAGAACTCTTGAGTTTAAATTCCAGAACAAGGGATCTGATCCAATACTCGATCTTGTGGAAGTTTGTCGGCAAGTTATGAAATCCCGAGCAGCTGATCCTGGGGTATGTTCAAATATATACTTTAGTACAAACTTCGTAACTCCTACATATACAAACAAAACATTAAAAACCAGTTTTGATATAGTTGCTTAAGAATATATTGTTCTGGTGGTTAGGACATTCGACTCACAGTCTGCAGGTGGCAGGTTTGAATCTCGTCACCAACCATGCTCGCCCTTACAGACATGGGGGGGGGGGCGTTAGAATGTGACGACCAATCCTACTTTTCCTTGATAAAGAGTTGCTTAAGAGTTAGTGGTGGGTGGTTTTGACTACCTACCTTCCTTCTAGTCTATCATTTCAAGATTACACTCGAGTAGCTTTGTGTGTATTTTAATTAACAAAACAAACATACAAAGGAATATATTACGTACTCTACCTTAAAGGGGAGTGATTATTGTGTTGGAAGAATCAATGTAAATCAATACTAATTATTATTTGTATGTAACAAATATAGATTTTATATATTTGTAAAAGCATTTATATGTCTTTTTTTAGTTTCGAGATACAGGGAATTACATGTTATATGCACACAAAGAATTAACAAATAACATAAAAACATTTAACTCGGTGAAAGAATACTTCACATCTACACTCTTTAATTAATTAAAATAACCTTATTAAACGACAATGTAAAAATAATGTCTAACAATATTGGCTAACCGAAAACTAATATTGTTATCCATTAATATCAAAACAGCAAACAATTAAACCAAAGTTTATTAACACAACAAAAATAAACCTTAAAATACGCATTCAGTGACAACATGTTATAACCCAGTTTTTAAAATAATGTTATAGTGCTTCAGTTTCTTTACAGTCGACGCCATTATACACGAATAATGGATATAAACCTAAGATGTAATGATAAAGATAAAAGGACATAAAATCCGGCTCCAAATTCGCGTTAAACGACCGTCCAAATCTCTTACTACACCAACATCATGTCTGTATGTTCTTCCCGCTGCCTTTTAGCCCTCCGTGGCACCTCTTTATAGGGAGATATGCTATACATACAAGCAACCCCCTCCCAGACCTTCCCGAGTATACTTGAGAAGTTTATTCTTGCTAGTTACAAATTTGTGGTATAAGTTCGCAAAAAAACAACAACAAAGAAATTCAAAAATATACAACGTGAATTAATACACAATATACCCTTCATTCTCTCTGTTCAATATAATGTTAAAGTTTGTGGTCAGTTATATGAAATGACATTATGTTATACATGAAGACTAGTTATTTTTATATTCTAATGCTGTACTATCCACGAGTTTCCCGCTAATTTATAGTATAGTATGAAAAGCATTAGTATTATCTTGCATTTATTATAATTAAAACCTTAATATCCTTCAAAACCCTTGGGGAAATATTATCTGGCCCAAGAACCTTATCGTTCTTTAAACTTCTCATGTTTTTCTTAACAAGTTAAGAATTAATGCAGTCATCTTGTTCGATCTTGTTTCCATCTATCAACTTTACAGGATGTGGAATACAGCTTAAATCTTCATTAGTAAAAACTGTAGAAAATGTAGAATTTAATAACCCAACCACCTCATAATCATCAAATACGACCCTTCCTTTATTATCCCTTAAGGGTCCTACTCCCATCCTATCATTTTGTTTACCCTTAATGTATTTAAAGAAATCCTTACTGTTAATTTTTTACATTTTCAGTCAACCTTTTCTCATGTCCTAATTTCGTATTTGACCAACTTTCTTGATCTTCTATAATCTTCTAAATCTCCCGTCATACCAGTTAATTTAAATTTCTTAAATTTATGACGTTTTTCTTTAATTTTATCTCTTACACATTTTGTGAGCCAACTTGGTTTTTACTTGCAACCACCATTTTCTTTTTATAAGAAATATGTTTAACTTGAACTAGAATGTTTATAAATTTATCTTAAAAAATTTTCCACATCTGATCAGTGTCTCCAAGTAACTCCGCTGCCCAATTCACAACAGATAATTCTTGCCACATCCCTTCAAAATTTTCTTTTTTGAAATTTGTAACCAAAATATCATTATTCCTTATCTCCATATGAAGCAAAAATATCGAACCTAATAGAGAAATGATCACTTGCACATAGATGTTCCCCAATTTCCACCCTTTCAATTTTTTCTATATTTGAAGTTAACAATAAGTTTAAACTAGCATTGTTTCTGGTTCGTTCCTTGACTAACTGGTGAAGAAAACCATATTGAACAGTTTCCAAAAACCTCTCTCTCTCATGGTTTGACTCTAGCAATTTCCAATGTATATGCCTGAAATCAAAATCTTCTATAATTATGACTTAATTAACAGCTGAAAGGTTTCTCACTAATTTCATCAGTATCATCTGGTGGTTTGTAACAAATTCTCACTTAAAGCCTTTTCTCTTTTTATCCTCTAACAGAAATCCAAATGGATTGAAAATCCTTGCTATTATCTTTAATATTCTCAACTTCAACAGGATGTAACTCACACTTTTAATATAAAGCCACGCCTTCCTTCTTTTCACTACTCTATCCCTGTTAAATAACCCATAACCCTATATTTTCTGTCATCAAAATCCTCCATTCCTACCAGTGCCCTAAAGTCATCTATTTTATTACTTTAATTCTTATACTTCTAGCATTACAATAGTAACAATTAAGCTTATCTTATAACTACTTCTATACTTATTTCCTATGCTAAACTTTTCTCTACATCCTATTTTTTTATATTTATTTTTTCCTGACCGTCACCACTGTCTAGTCTTAGTTTATAACTTCCCTTAGAGCTAAAAAACATGCATTAATTAAAGAATCTTATATCATAGAAATATCTAAAAATAAATTATAAAACCTTAGGTTCACACGATAAAGATTCATATAGAAATAATTACATAACTTAAGAAAACAATTCAATGTTTGTTTAATGTTTTTTTTCTCTTTCGCGTCTCCCGGTGGGACAGCGGAAATTTGCAACGCTACTATCAGGGGTTCAATTTTTCTTGGTGGACACAGCAGATAGCACGAATTTGGCTTTGCTATAACAAAATACATACCTCACCCTCTCATTTTCTTTATAAAGTGGCTATTTATAAGAAATTATTAAAAAAATATTATTAAAAAATAGCAGTTATGTTAAAATAATTTTAATTTAGACCAGATGGAAATAAAGTTCTAAGTTTCAAATACAAAACAAATTCTCATATTGACGTAGATTAGCATTATTTTTTTTACAGTTTAGGAGACACAATACTGCTAAATGCATGCGACGGCTGAAAAAATATGTCATAGAAGCAGCTTGTGTACAAATGACTTGTGTAATTCTTCCAGATAGAGATCCTTCTTGGTATGCTGTGTACAGTTGCCAGAGAAAAGTATAGAGCTTTTATCACTGACCTTTCTGTTCATCGATTCTCATTTGTTACAAGACACTGCTCCTTGTTTACTATGGCTGGGGTACGACTTGTTGCGGGTTTCTTTCTGGATGATCCCAGTGCCCCAAGTTAATTCATATTACTTTGATTTTCAATGTCATTGAGTACAAGGGATATCCTCATCTAGGGAATTTTAAATCTCCGATGTAAACACATTTTTATGATCTGAATGTATGAATATTTTGCGTCGAAAAGAACTGTAACATACTCTTCCCAAAAGCCATCAGTTTTCTGTATCATCAAACTTCTTACTCAACTCCAAACAGTGTCAAATGTAGCTAAATGTGGTTTTCACGAAACTTGTAGATATGCTTATTCAAACTCGTTTTAATATAACGTACTCAACCCTTACAATGCTGCTCTTTGACAACCAACTTTGTAAGTTTCAGAAAAGCACTAGTTGATAGTAAAGTCTGATGCTCTTTA